TGCGACGGTTTTAATGACTCTTCAAATGAAAGTATTACGAGTTTCATGGAGCGTTCCCAATTATTGACAATTTGCTTGTGTGATGTGATAATTTATTAAAAGGACATCTTAAAGATCACTCCTTTTTAGCCTACACCTAGTGCATTAGCTGGGATGGAGTAAGAGGTTGTTGCATTAGGATTTAATAATAATAATTGAATATTCTTTTAGTTTTAATAAGTTAATAAATGAGATAGAATTAATAGGGATATTTATTTAATTGACAAATTAATTCAAAAGCCAATTAATAATTTATTGAATTAATAATCAAATTTTAATTTTAAATTCATATAAATAATAATTTCACAAACGAGATTGCACTTTCTTTTAATTTTTAAATAAAAATAAATATTAAGACTTACTTTTGATATTTAAATCCAAATTATAATTTTAAATCCAATTTGTATTCTTTTAATTAAATGATGATCACAATTAATTATTCAAAGAACTTTTATTATAAACAATTAACACGTCTTAATATTTTTATTGATAAAACTAAAGTGTCACTTAAAGGACATTTTCGGTTGTTGTTAGCAGGTAGCAACATCCCTTCTTTTTCATTTTTTAATAAATAATAAATTTTGATTGGTTACAATTAAATCAATAATAATTTTTCTTTATTTTCTTTTACTTTGTAATTAAATATTTTTGCAAACAATGCTTCTGACAACGATTGATATTTCTTGCATATTAAATTACATCTGAAGCATTGTTAAACGCAATAAAAATTTATAAGAAATATTTCTTCAAATTTTTAATAATTATTTATAATATCTTTTAAATCTATTTCTTAAATATATATTTTCAAATTTACAACGTATGGGCGCGTAGTGCCACATGACGTGACACCCCCACACTTGGACGATCGTCACACATGAGAATCATGTTGACAAGATGTCACAAAAAATTTAAATTTTTATTTGTATTTTATGAATTATATATATATATATTTATGAATAGGATATATTTTCAATTTATTTCTTCTTTTAAATAAATTTATTTAAGGTTTCTAATGAAATAATCAGAACTTTTTTTTAAAAAATTATAATAATGAATAAAATACTACTATATTGATTAACATTATTCTTATTTTCATACATTTTTTAAAACATTTTTCAATTGAATATATTAATATGACACATTTATCCTCCCATTCTCTCTCAAAAACTTTTTATGCGTTAAAAATTCCGCAATGCATTCATAACATTGCTCACAAGATCTAATATTTAGAATTTTCTCTCCACATTCATCGCCCTGTTCAATTGGTGTACGCGTAATGATGTGTAAGTCTTTATAAACTTTATAATTGAATCTTTCATCAAATACAATTTGTAGGTAACAATTGGTGCACAAAATTTTATCACTCCAATTGTCTATAATTTGAATAAAAATTCTAACAACTTTTTCTTTTAATTTCACACACTTATAGTCTTCTAGTTCTTCAAAAACTTCAGGTTAGTCTCTGATATTTATTCCTTGAACAGCATCCAAACTGACTTCATCGCAGTCTGAATGATCGGGACAAGTTAGATCCATCTTAATTGTGTGTATTAAAAATTTCACTTTAAGAGTAATAAAATGTCCCGCCTTCCCCTGCACTTAGCCACAGGGCCTTTGTCCAGGGTCTGTTTGCACAGTCAAGGCGGTCGTCTTATGTCTTAGGCCTGCAGGTTCCCTAGGTTCCCAAGTTGCCTTGGTTCCCTTCTGAGCCCCGAAACAGTCCCTGTCGATTTCCAATATATATATTATGGTGGTACGAAAGGACGTTATTTCTGCCATTGGAGATTTCGCTAAGCTCCATGGGTCCCCCGGTTCCCTCAGCCTTAGGTAGGCAAGATCTATAGGCCTGGTGTCAACCTAAGCGGTCGTCCCAGTTTCACAAGAAATCGTCCTACCCTCGGAGATTCTACCGGTTACCTCAAGGGTCCTGGTTTTAGACTCAGCATCAGCAAGGCTGTACTACAATGCGGTGTCGCCTGGTTCCCCAAGGGCATCGTGGCGGCAATAGCACTTTTTTGTACTATTCAGTCATCAGCACAATAGCTTACGCCCTTGACTGTCCTCTGAGAGGCCTCCCGCTCATCGTGGTCAGAGAAAAGACTATATTATAAATGGGTCTTGTCTCAGCCGGGAATCGGAGCCGCTACCCATAGTGCGCTAGGCTGGCACCTTACCACTTAGGCCACGATGTCGGTAAAAATAATATTTAGATAGTTATTTTTTTAAAATAATATTTAAATAATTATAATTATTATTTTTTATTTTTAATTATTTTATTACTTTTTTTAAAGATTTTTATGTATTCTGAAATTTTTTATTATATTTGTATAGTATTATCATTTTTTTAGTATTTAATTCAATTCGATATACCTAAATAACTATCAGAAATTTTATTTACTTATAACTTTTAACTTTTATTGCATAATTATTTTCTATAATGTCTCTATAGTATACCCAAGTGTTTGAACAATCTTCACATATATATCCTGGTCTTGAAATCACAATTCTTCTGTAACATTTTACACAATCTTGAACTACTAGTCGTGGTGGACAGAGATGATGCCAATTTTTATCACAATAACTGAATGATCGTTTTCGTTCATTTGATATTGTTTAATAACATTCAACACACAGAAGTTTATTATTATAATAATCAACAAAAATTTCTTCTTCTTTTTTACCAATTTTTAAACATGATGCTGTAATTAAACTTACGTAAAATTTTATATTTCTTCCAGGAATCCTTGGATGAGGAATCCCATATAATAAATCCAATTCTTCTTGTTGTTGCATATATTTTAATACACCATCAGGAATTTTCATCTGCAAAATTTTTTTTAAATATTGAAAGATTTAATGAAGTATATTTGTTAGTTATTTGAAAATTTATTCAGCCATATTGAATACACTGACTGATTTATGTTGCAACTGTGAGTGATTTAATTTTGTTAACTTATTTTCTGTTTCTAATTTTGGATAAATTCTTCTTTCATTATCTCCGGATTGTTGAAATTTATTTTGGTCGATTCTTGAAGATTTTCCTTCTTGATCTTGATGATAAAAATTAGTTGCTTGATTTTTATTTTCTTCTAATTTTGGATAACAAATTTGCGATTGATTTTGTTGATACATAATTTGTTGAAACTCATAAGGAATTGTTGGTGAATTAATTTGAACTGGAGGTTGATCTATGATAACCTCCATTTTTGAATTATCATTTTCATTATTTTTAAAATTATTTTCTTCTGTTTTGTCATTTGAATGAATATTATTACAATTATTATTTTTATTTTGAGCTTTATAAAGAATAAAATGAGTACATGCGTCCCAAAAAGATAATAAAAGATAATATGAGCAACCATAAACATTTCTAATGGCATATCCATGAATAATTGTATCAAAAACTAATTTTATCAAACGGATAATAGTAAATATACCTAGAAGTCCTGCACTTATTGTTCCAAAAGTCACAAACTTCCCCCAAGTTTTCTTCCATGTTGATTCTGCAAGTTTTTCTAATGAATTTTGATCAAATAAATTATACATTGATTCTCCTTGATTAATTGTTTGTCTTCCAGATGAAACACGTGCAATGTTATTTAATATTGCTGGTTTCTCCAAAGGAGACATGATTCTATCTCTTAATTTTTCTAGATTTTGTTGAGAATAAATACCACTTGTAGCTAAAGATTTTGATTGAACATATTTCCATGTTGATTTCGTTAAAGGTTTGAAAATAATTAGTGGAACAACTTCGATAGGTCCAGGTGAAAATCTATACCAAACTCCGTTGACATTAAAAATAGGTAAATATTGTAAATCACAAGTAATTTGCGTTCCTTTTCTCACTAAAATATGTGTTTTGGGTTTCAAAAAGTAACTTGAGTTTCCCTTAACCACTGATAATTCTTGATAACATTCTTCTCTTGGGTATACCGATACATCTACAGCTAAGCATTTAATTATTGTTACAGTTTCGCCTGCTATAATCGCCTTATAGCCTGGCCCTTTCATATAATTATACGCAAATTCATCTGGATTTTGTATAGCTAATGATAAAGAATTCTGTAAAACATTTCGTTCTAAATAACATCTATGAACTAAAATATCATTATATAATTGTTTCATTTGTTTTTGAATAAATTTTTCAACCTAAACAAACTTAGAATTAACATACGTAAATAAATCTAAATTTTCTGTTGTGATACTTTCTTTAATTAATAAATCGTCTTTACTTGTTTCATAAATAAATAAACTTGGATGTTCTGTTCTGATTATTTTATAGCCACATATTATTTCTACTTTTGCCGTGGCTAAAACAAAAGTAATTCCATTTGATTCTAAAGAATAAATAATTTCATGTGATTCTGAATCTTTTTCGACTATTCTGTTTACTTTTCCCGAATATAAAATTTCATATTTATTGAATTGACATTCATCGTGTGAAATATATTCCCGAAAAGTATATCCTCCTTCATAATCGAGACACCAAAGATTTTTTAATGGACAAGTTATTGCTGACCTTAAGTGGATTATATTTGATTCTAATTTAATTTCTGTAAAATATTCTTGTAAAGTAATTTTGACTATTCCTTGAACTACGACATTAGCCCAATTTCCATAAATATTAGAATAATATTCTCCGAAACATTTTCCATCATTCTTGATACTTCTAGCAAGTGTTACACTTCTTGTGGTTGTATCATTAATTTTTAAATCAGTTAAAAATATTTTCCCGAGATATAAAGAACCCGTTTTATGAATTTCAGAACATTTTTTTTTAGAAATTTCATACAAATATTCATTAAAAACCGTTATTTACTATTGAAATATAAGAATGCATTCCACAATGATAAACTGTCCGTAAAATTTCAATTTCACATTGTATTACTTCAGTTAAAAAAATTCTTTTTAATTGTAATAATTGAATGAAAGGTTGAGAAATATTAACTTCTCTTTCTGGAAATTCACAATCTCCAATTTCATTGATTGAAAAGGTGGTTGAATTTACTGTTGATCTTTCACAATCATATCCAATTATCCCAAAAACGGATGTTGGACTCAATAAAAATAAAATTGCAGCGAAAATTATTTTGATAATCATCTGTAAAGTAAATTAATTAGCTTCATTGTTATCACCTATTTGAAAATTAAACTTTCGTGTTTTATGTATTGGTGTTATTTCTGGATTAATAAATGAATATCTCAATCTATTCATATGAACAATTTGTGTTTGTTTTTCAGTTCGAATTTTTACATTCCTCTTTTCTAAAATTTCAAGAACTTTATATGGACCTGAATACTGATCTTTAGTTTTTCCAGGATTAGGTTCGGTAGATATGGTTTAAGATTTTGAGGATTACAATATTTATCATAATATTTCTTTGACGTTTCTTTTGATTGAACTAAATTTTGATATGCTAATAATCTTATTCCATGTTATCTTGTAACTAAATCAATTAAATATCCTTGCATAGTAGGTAATTGTTCACATTCTCTTATAGGTTCACTAGATGGTAATCTAGCTTGTTGACCAAAAACTATTGTGTAGGGTGCACTTTGAATGCCAAAATGATAACTAGTATTATAAGAAAATACTGCTAATTCTATCCAATCATCCCATTTATCATCAATTGATGAATAAAACTTGAGATATTCATACAAAGATTGATGTGATCGTTCTGAGGAACCATTTGATTGTGGATAATAAGCTGTCGTTCGTAACTTTTTAATTCCAGACCTTTTAGCAACAATTTGTAACAAGGCACTCATAAAATTGCGACCCTGATCTGTTAAAATAACTTCAGGTGGACCTAAAATACATATGTATCGTTTAATAAAAACATCAGCAATTGTTACTGCTTGAGTGTCTTTTAAAGGAACTGCTACACAAAATTTAGAAAATAAATCTTGAATTGTTAATATATATTCATTTCCTTTTTTAGTCTTTTGTCTTGCTCCTACAATATCTAAAGCAATTTTCATATTACAAGTAGCTGGGGTATCTGTAATAATCATTGGTTCTTGAATTTGTAAACATATTAAAAAGTTTAAACATGGATGTACGTACGTGCGTGTGTGCGTATGTCAGGTTTTTTTTTCGTTTGGGATATCATCAGAACCACTGATGATATCGACTTCGGACAAACTTCATCTTTGATGTACACTGATAAAAGAATATATTTGGTGGGACTAAATGAATTCATGAAAATTATTTTTCTGCATTTATTTAATACAAATAAAAATTTATTCGTTAGAAATAAATTTCCTTTGCTTAGCAGTTTGATATTTTAATATTTTCAAAACTATTAGAAATTCACACGAAATAAAATGGTTATAATATAATTACTCGTCGCGCTATTGTTTAAAAGAAAGTATTTATTTTGATAATTACGAAACCTTTATTTTTGTTTTCACTAGTAACCGAAGTTATTTTACTATGTAACTGAATATTTGATAATGCTTTACCGTAATTCTTCCTTATCATGGAGCCGAATCACAGTATTTTGAGGGGAAATAAATATTTGTTAGCAGCTAAGAAATCATTCATTGAGCTGAAAAAATCTACAAAATCTACTCTAATTAATAATTTCTTAGCTGTTAACGAATGTTCATTCGATTTTTCTTTTGAATAATATATTCATTAGTTGCTAATACATTATTTTATATAGACGAATCACTTCTATCAGCGCATTACAGTAAAGAAGATCTGAAAACAGTTTGGACAAATTCGGTTTAGCAGTTTTTTTTATAATAAAAAGAACTTAGTAAAATAAGTCTGAGCACACTTTGTCTAGGCTAACACGACGAACTTCTCATTAGTGATTGTTCATAACATATTCATATTGCCATAAATAATGTGTTATTTTTACGAGTCATGTTTTATTATTAATAATATTATTTTGTTGAAAGCATCTGAATCAGTGTGATATACTCATTAGTTAATCAATAAATACAATTTTTAATTGTTTATAACAAAGTCGTATCGTTACAAAGAATGTGAGATTAGTGAAAGTTATATTCGGTTGTAAACAATAATGTCTAGTCAATATTACCTTTATTTTCAAAGAAAATTGTTGTTTATTCGCTTGAAAAATATTTTTAATGATCAATCTGATATAAAAAGAACTCTTCGACCGCATTTGTTCAATTCTCACTCAGATATTCTTTACAATAATATACCGAATAAATACTGATCAAAGTCCATATCGCAATCCGTTCTTGAGATATCGAAAGCGACAAAAATGCTGACGTCCGCATATACATACATAAATACGTCTATAAGTTATTTTTGTCTACCTATTAACCCTTCAAAATGATGCTCTGGACTCATTAGGCCCATTTGAATTTTCTCGCCCAAAAGATACAAAAAATGAAAAATCATTTATTTGAAATTTGTAATAATCAAACATGGAATTATTTCTTTAAGAAAATATTCTTTTTTCAGTGAAAATTCAGCATTATTTATTTTATATCTGCCACAGCTTAGAGAAGGCGAACGACTGTTGGATTATCGTTTTGCTGTCTGCTGTATTTCGGATCGGACATTATCGGATCTTCACGTACTCTTCAGCTTACCTTACTTGAAAATTACGCAATCATGGAATCGTTCAGAATTAAGTTGGTTTTTTACTGTTCTTTCCATATTCTTATCGTGTCCATTAGAATGTGTCAGTCTTATCGCTCATGATTGTGGTACTTCGGCAGTAAATTTACCAACACTTTCATTATAAAACATAAAAAATTGTAATATTTCAATAGTTAAACCTAATTGGTTATGATCAAGATTTAATTATTACAAACAACAGATTTTAAACAAGTTAAAGTTATTCAGTGTCAAGTAAAAATTGAGCGGTCAATTTATTATTGCAGAATGCAATCTTATATATCTTTAGTTTCAAAAAGTCACATGGAATACGTAGAAGAAATTACGAGAAGTGTAAAACATTACAAGAATCTGGGTCATTCTAAGCATATAACAAACTTTTCACACAGATACTAACTAATAGTACTACGGAAAGATATGCACGATTGGCAGGTTCCACTGCCAATACAGGTTCATGTGAAGGTTCTAGTTATTCAATTTATCATGGATCCTGGTACTCCGTAGTAGTTCAAGGCCAAATAATATTTACATTGCAAGACTATACAGCTTCTGTAGATTCGGGACAATTTTGTTTATAATTTGAATGATAAAGTGTATTCTTTACAACTATTGATAATTCGTTTGCACTATCAGTGAAAGGTCATATTCCAATCTGTGGCAGGGCCCCCGGGGTTACATAGATGTTTCCGTTCTTAAGGTATGTCGCGTAACAACGGGGGCAGATTGAAGATTATTTATCATAATCCGTCGTGCCCTATTTTCGTACTGCCCTATATGGTAGTCTGAATGTGGGTATGTCGAACACGCCGAGCGCGAGACGCGTTAGCGACCGCCGACCAAAGCTAGAAAAGTTGGTACTACGAAATGCCAAATTCCAAGCCCTGAGCCTGGGGCTGCGATGTCAAAATATGACATGTAGGCCTAGGTACAACTGGCCAATTGAGGTCGAACTCGTAGTGGTATGTTGTAAGGGCTCGGGCTTGTTACGTGTATTCCTGTGCCTGTTCTAGGTGCAGGTATACCGTCCTGGAAAATGCCATCGCGAAGAAAGTATAGTTATAATTTCCCAGAGTTATGCCGAAAGAGGCGAGGTACTCAATTTCCGTCCTTCGGACAGGGAAAGCGTGGATTCCATTCTGTGGCTATAAAGTAATAAAAACGGAACATCCACAACTCATTATAATTACCAAAGGATCGAATAATTTTTTTTTTGATTTGTTTCACGTACATAAATTCGAAATTTGTTTATTCGGAGCAATATTCACGTACTCAAATGATAAATGTGTACGACGATATTGTTAGAGAAGAGTGTGAATTGAAGCGGAAAATATTACATAACTCACTGGCATTTAGTTGCTATTTCTCCAGCAGACTTTGCTTATCATTTTATGAAAAAATCAGGGTATGTGGCTCATGTTGCCGGAGAAATAATTCGAATAGCAAAATGTGCATCCGCGGACATGGTTAGAAGATAAGCAATTCAATGTTTCTAAGAATTACCAGTTACAAGAGGTAACGAAGATTTATTTATGACTCCGAGGACCCATATTTTAACTAAAAAAGGAAATAGAATAGATTGTATTCCGTTACTCGCCCTCATTGATAATATAAATAAAGCCTAGTATCAATTTTCCTGTCAATTAGCTTCCGCATTAACTCCCGACGAAGTATCGACAAAAACAAATGCAAGTTGGACTTACGTAACCCCTGGTAATTTAGTAACAAATGGGATTTATTCGGGTTCTGATTTAGAGAAATTACAAAATAATATGATGTTTCCTTCGGAAGAACCTGCTGTACTAAACACGATAGCTAGAGGTGCTTCTGAAATAGATTGTGAGATCAAGGTAATTTAATCAATAAATCAATAAATGAAAATGAAATGAGATTAGCATTAGAAAAAGCCTGGAGTAAAGTTTATAATTTTTAATACAATCGGAACCTTTAGTGTAATTTTATTCGGTATCTGGGTAACCTTGAAAGCGATTAAATGGATAATCGATATTATTGTACATGGTTCTGCATTACATACAGTTTAATCTAGAGTTGTGTCTCATAGGTGCAATTTGGGACTCTGTAACCAACTTATTATTGCATGTAGGTAGAAACATAAAAATGTATAAATCTTCTCCAGACGAAGCTGGAATTCAACTCGATACCAGAATGACAGTCTCAAATTGAAAAAAAAAATTGAAACTCACAATGAAAGCAAGCAATTTACTTACTAATCAATCAACAATTATTAGAGTAAATTCATCTTGGTCCATTATTAAAAAATTGCTTTCCTAATTGACAAATCGCTCAGAAAATTGTATATAACAATTGCATTTGTTGTAAATAATAAGTTTGTTATAAAAAATAAAAAAGAAGGATCTATGCAATATATTTGAATTTTTCCAACGCGGACACGAACATCGCACTTGGATTTCTAATGTATACAATATTTAACCATGAATATCTTTACCGCTAAATACAAAATCATAACATACTGTTTTGTTAATCGAAAAAGTCTACTAGTTCTTTTCAACTCATACATAATTACTTATAACATAATCTTTGCTTAGTTAACGATCCATTTGGCAGAAAACCCAAATTTTTTTTAATAACTCTTTGGTCAATTATTTATAATAATTTTAATTATATTTGATAGGAATTATATATAAGGTTATTCTTTGTTACACAGAATTTAACAATGTTTTTGCAATTAAAGGTTTTTATTCTTATTAAACAATAAATACAAGCGTATAGTATTTAATTGAATATTCATAAGCAATATTGTAATATCGACACAGTGCCCGGTTGTAAATACTAGGTGTCAACAGTAAAAATAATTTGAAATTAAGCAACGCTTTTTCTGTTCGTTTTAGAGGCATTTATTGATTATATACACTGAATATTGTTGTTTTATATTCTGATATGTTTTATGTTATGCTGATTATTTGAAACATTTCAGACTTCGACTTAAATACAGCTGCAATCCATGAGATGTTGTTAAGATCTTTACTAATTTCTTTCGTAGATCGTACGTCCAAGATCTTCTAATGCGTAAACTACATCTGCCGTGACAGTTTTTGGCATGCTTGATATAAGTTATTCCGTCACAAATCACATTTTCGAGGAATGCTTCCAAAATTGCACAAGTCTCTTCGTAGAGTAATCCAGAAATACGTTTAACATCACCTCGGATAGCGAAACGATTGATTGCAGGTTTCGTGATACGTTGGATGTTGTTATGAAGAAGATTTTCAATGACGTTTCGCACGTCCTTTTCCTCCCTTTTCATGTCTATTAATAATGAATTACTAGAAGTTTTTTTTTTAGTAACCTCAAAACAAGACAGAAAGACTAGTCTAAGGTTTGTTGAATAATTCACGCATAGAATAAAGAGTGTATCGGTGCTAGAATCTCAGTCTGTTATCGATATTGTTTAGTCACTATGGAGTATCATTAGAGAAATTGTAACAAGCAAATATTGTACTATATATGATTGCTGTCCGAGATGGAATTGAAGTTGACTCGTCACTATGCATAAAGGAGTTTTCGATTAGTGAAGTACCGTTTTTCAACATCTACTTTTATTTTAAAATAAGATTTATCAAAAGACAACAACAATAGCGGTATATAAATAGATATTGACCGATACGAATAAAGGGGAAAAGGATAAAATTTTTTAAAGAAACCTTTTCTTTTGTGGCAGTGCAGGTGCTTCCTCGATGATAAGATAAACCTATACCAAAAATACAAAAAAAAAGTATTATGTATTTTAGACAAATTACTGGAAAATTTACGTTTCTTCATTAATTCCAGTACTCCAGTTTAGATAGTGTACAGTAGTAACTAGTGACTAGTAACTAGTACATGTCGATTCAAAAATTATGCGTCAAAAAAATGATCTAGCATTTATCAATGCTCTAAATAATCTAGCTCTTGGAACTATGAAAACTGATGACATAAATTTAATTAAATCTCGAGAAATTAAAAATATTAACGATATTCCAGAAACGGCCATACGCTTGTACGCTACTAATAAGAATGTATCATCTTATAATGCTCAGAGAATTTCTCAATGTAAAAGTAAATTATTTACTCAACTGCTCAAGTTGTTTTCTCTAAAGACATAACCGAAGGTGAAAAAAAATTATATGACGATCAATAAGTAAAAAAGCAAACAATGTTGCAATTGAATTGCCTAATGTTATTCAATTATAAGTTAACATGAAATATATGATAATTAAAAATATCGATGTAGAAGACGGTCTAGTAAATGGTGCTTGTGGTATTTTGGAATATATATCGAATGTCAAGATGCTAACATACCATCTACACTATGGTTAGATTTTCATACACCAAGAGCTGGCATCAACATACGAGCTCGTTATCGTAATTATATGACAAAGAATAATATAGATAATGTTTTAACACCAATAGAAAGAATATCGATTCAAACTAGTGTGGCACGAGATGATAAATACGAAATTTTGAAAAATCAATTTCCTATTATACCTGCAGAGGCAATAACTATTCATAAAAGTCAAGGTCAGACATATGACACAATATGTCTAGATTTTACTGCTCAAGAGAGGCGAACTTTATCGATGTTGTATGTTACCCTCAGCCGTGTCACCAAATTAAGTGGACTATTAATAATTGGTAAATTTAAATTACCAAATGTTTCTGAGAATTTAAAGGTTGCAAATTCAGCGCTGGTTGAATTAGAACGTCTGAGATCTAACAAATCGTTGGAACTGTCATACGATAGCTTAGAGACCGTCATAGGAACAAAAATAGTGTATCGAAATGTTGGTACATTACGAAAAAACTTAAGTTATATAATTTCTGATACATGGTATTGGCGAGCGAATATCTTAGTATTCAGCAAATCTTTGACGGTGAAAAACGATGAAGTTGACATTAAAAATTTCAATATTGTTTTGGGAATCGATCGTGATAAAAATAATCATGGACTAAAATGCTATGTAAAGAATGGTGTACCGTTTTTCAGTATTATCATCAGAATATTCTTATAGCAGTACGAACATGTGCAACTATTTGCATTAAAAGTCGGAAATTGGTATTTGATTAGTGGCTACAAATCACCTAAAGCAACAACAATTATGTTCAAAAAAACAATCGATTACATTTTACAAAAATGGCCTTCCAATAGTCTTATCCTATTAATAGGAGATTTTGATTATGACATCATTAATTATAATAACAAAAAAAATAATTCCCTGATCAATTGTTTGAAACGATATCGATTATTATCGAAATTGCCACCAGATAGTATTACTACATTATTGAATACACAAATTGATGTCATTTTTTCTAATATTCATAACTTACAATGTGGAGTATATGAATCATATTTCACCTATCATAAACCAATATATGCTATTTATGATGCTAATATTATTGTGCATGCCACTGACAATTCTAACAGCACTAATGTAAGTAGCACAATTACAAATGACAATTCTAGTGAAATGACAATTAGTAACGATATTAGCATGGACTGTGATAATAAAAATATCAATGAATTTCCAATGGATATTGATAATAATGATATAGATAATAATCAAACTAAAAGCATAATGAGTAACGATTATATTGTATCAAACGATATTGAGAATGTCTATGACAATATAGATGATAATAACATACCATATGATTTTGATATTCCAATCGCAGAATGTCAAGAAGTGTCTCATTGTAGATTTTATTTATAGCGGTAATATTGGTGTCAACATTGTAGGTCACTGGATTTGTACAAAATATGGCGTTCACATCTACGACAGTTTAAATAAGAATTACTTGGAAAAAGATCAAATAGATTAATTAGATACCTTGTACAGATTTAATAAAAGGTTTATATTCCATAAAGTACAGGAACAAAATAATGGTATAGATTGTGGAGCATTTTCAATCTATTTTGCAACATTATTGTGTTATAAAAAAGAACCAGAGAACCAAATGCCATATAATGTACCAATTATGCGTAATCGTATAGTTCGAATGCTTCTGAACAAAAAGTTACTACCGTTTCCAAATCATCGATATGAAAAATAATTTAATGATAATATTTACTTGTAAAAAGTGATAAACACCGTGGACCATCTGGACTGAAGCAAATAAATCTAGGAAAGATGTACATTCGAGTATTTAATGATGATCCACTTACAGTATGCTCGTAATCGCTGAACATTTACTACTTTACACTAGTTACTGTTCACTACTAGTTTTTGTTTATTATCCTAGACAACCATTACACGATAATAGGATAGTGTCACAAGATAGTAGCAGGATGGGCACACAACTCCACGGCTGCTCTTACGGCCTTAAATTAATAATAAATAAATTCGAAAGCCTATTCTAGAATGAATCGACATTTACTAGTTACTAGTCACTAGTTACTACTGTACACTATCTAAACTCGAGTACTGGAATTTATAAAGAAACGTAAATTTTCCAGTAATTTGTCTAAAATACATGATACTTTTTTTTTTGTATTTTTGTTATAGGTATATCTTATTATCGAGGAAGCACCAGCACTGCCACAAAAGGAGATCAAAGAACGGTTGTGAATATACGTTGTCAACAGGTTTCTTTAAAAAACTACATCTCTTTTTCTTTTATTCGTATTGCTATTGTCGTTTTGTTTTAATAAATCTTATTTCAAAATGGAAGTAAATGTCAAAAAACGGTACTTAACTAATCAAGAACTCCTTCACGCATATCGATGAGTCAACGTCAATTTCATCTCGTCAGCAATGATATACAGTAACAATGTGAAGACATGAAGTAAATACGAATTATAAAGAATACGATAAATTAGTACAATTTTCCTAATGATACTCTATAGTGACTAAACAATATTGATAATAGACCAAGATTCTGACATCGCCACACTCTTTATTCTATGCGTGAATTATTCAACAAACCTCAGACTAGTCTTTCTGTCTTGTTTTGAGGTTACTGAAGAAAAAACTTCTAGTAATTCATTATTAATAGACATGAAAAGAGAGGAAAAGGACGTGCGAAACGTCATTGAAAATCTTCTTCATAACAACATCCAACGTATCACGAAACCTGCAATCAATCGTTTCGCCATCCGAGGTGATGTTAAACTTATTTCTGGATTACTCTACGAAGAGACTTGTGCAATTTTGGAAGCATTCCTCGAAAATGTGATTTGTGACGGAATAACTTATATCAAGCATGCCAAAAACTGTCACGGCAGATGTAGTTTACGCATTAGAAGATCTTGGACGTACGATCTACGAAAGAAATTAGTAAAGATCTTAACAACATCAATCATCTCATGGATTACAGCTGTATTTAAGTCGAAGTCTGGAATATTTTGAAAAATCAGCATAGCATAAGACAAATCAGAATATAAAACAACAATATTCAGTGTTCATAATTAATTAATGCCTTTAAAACTAACAGAAGAAAGCGTTGCTTTATTTAAAATTATTTTGACTGTTAACAACTGGTATTTACAACCGGGCTCTACGTCGATATTACAATATTGCTAATAAACATTTAATCAAAACTATATGCTTGTATTCATTGTTTAGAAATAACTAACCTTTAATTGCAAGAACATTGCTAAATTTTGTGTAGCAAAGTAAACCATCATATACAATAGCTATAAACTATAATAAAATCTATTATAAAAAATGAACCAAAGAGTTATCAAAAAAATTTGGGTTTTCTGCCAAATAGATCGTTAACTAAGCAAACATTGTGTTCTGAGGAATAAGGAACCAGTTGAAAAAAACCGGTAGACTTTTTCGATTAACCAAACGGTATGTTATGATTTTGTATTGAGCAGCATCAATTTTCATGGTTAATTATTGTTTATATACCGTAAATCAAAGTTCCTATTCGTGGGGACACTTTCAACATGCTAAGCTCCTTCAATGTTAAATGCCGTGAACTATCAATAGATTTTTTACACACGATGAACAGCTTCCAGCGACTATATCCGCGCAAATATGCATAATAACATTACATAGTGATAGATTGATCAAAAAAAAGTATTAAATAGTATTTTCGTAGTTTAAACAAACCAATTACGAATAGGTATTGATCTGCGATGATTTTAAAAAAAATACAAATGAATTCATAGGCATGAATAATACATAGAGAACAAAAAAAATTTTTAATTTATCATGAAATAACTTTTCTGTGCCTTTACAACAATTTAATTGTTATAGAAAAAAAACCGTTGTTGATCATAGCACATAGTCTGGATCTTCGCTTTAATAGTGAAAGGTTTTCTATGAAATACTGTCATCATATTCCTGTACAATTATTCTAACCATTTGATATTCATATTTTTCAAAAGATTTCAAAATTGCGTCTAAAAAATGGTATAATTTATCAATTGCAGAATTTAGGTAGTTCACTATTTTTTCAGTTTTTTGATTCTACATAAAAAATGGCCGGACCGATTTTGCTGAAAGTCTAATCGGTTCTAAGTTACGTAATTACGCGTCGAATGCAGTTGATCCCACGTCGATATTATATTTTGTTCTCGAGATAATCGAGGCGAAAAATAATTCCGAACGCACGTACGAACATACAAACATACGCACATACGTACATACACACACACACAGACGTCCACGTGAAAACTATCGTATTTAACTCTGGCGACTTTAGAACGTGGAGATATGTCAAAATTAGCGATTCGCAAAATCGGACCCATTACTATAACTCCCATCTGGGAAGTAAAGTATAAATATTAAATGATTAGAATACTGGTATGAAAATATGGTGACAATGTTTCATAGGAAAAAAATTTTTAAAAAACGAAATCAGCAATAAAGAAATTTTAAACTTGTGTCAGGAATGAGAAAATAGCGTTGAGGATAATAAAATAGTCAATGATTATTGTTAATAATAAGAAATTGTGTTCATAACGATTGAACATTGTTAATAACAAATGATTATCGATCATAATAATATTTGAATAAAAAATTTTTTAATTGTTATAAACAATAAAAATAAGGACCCTTTCTATATATATGAGTACTTTTAACGCATAATTTTTTCTTTTACTAAAAAAATGTTACCAACCGTATGCCATAAATAAAAACATACTTTTTTTGTGTATAACAATTAAATTCGTTGTAAATAATGAAAAAAAGGATCTATGAGGTACATTCGAATTCTTCTAACGCACAATTTTTTCTTTTACTGAAATAAGGTAACTAACTATATCAAATGAATATAAACAGACTGATTTCGTTTATAACAATTTCATTTGTTATAAAAAATGGAAACGGGTTCTATTCAAATTGTTTTTTTATTTTTTCCACTGGGAAGTTGGTCGTGTGGACCTTTCGGGTCGCACCCAGACCACTGCAGAGCACTGATATTTTTTTATATCCTTCACATTCTATTGTATTCATTGGGTACAACTTTTATAAATAATAACTTCTTTATGTATCGAATAAGCGTATAATTGAGATTCTGTCGCACAGTAGACTTGAATTTGGTCATTGATAATTGATAATTTAATTGAAAAGTACGAAGCAATTATTGTATCTCAATTTTTATCAATTGGTAGTGGAAATGATATAATTTTCTGTTGAAAAATGTCTTTACAAAAATATCCACTATCACAGTGGAAAATACAATATTGGACTTAAAAAATACTATAGAACTTAATAGTCAATTTTTCTTCAAAATTTCCTTTAATTCCATTAGAAATATGGTAAAATATATCAATGCGGTTATCTGTAGATTGATGAACAAACGTACGTTTGTTACTTGGACGATTGCTGTACAATTAGATGGTTTATAGCAACGAGGGGACAGTTTGTTTATATCTAGTTCAGGACTGAGACTAGTTAACATTAGACGACTTTTCTTTAATTCTGTATCCAAATCTGTCACTTTTAACAAAATATACGTTGATATTAGTTGTTCCCATTCTTTTATTGTTCATGTGGTGCCAGAAGGGATTTGTCCTGCGTGTCGAGATATTTTATTTGTGTGTTGTGATTTTTTTGAAGCTTTAAAAAATGCCAAGAACACCAAATCATCGTCGATCAAGGAGGAAACAAGGAGAACTCGTTTTCACGTCAATTCTATAAATGACGGATTTCTAGCTTTGGAAATGCGGATAAACAGATTTAAGGAACAAGTATCTCCGAACAAATTGGAAATAAATGGCTCATTTAAAAATTTCATCGGAGTCAAATGCTGCAACTTTGGCGAATCTTATTCCCATCCCCACGACAAAGTGAGAATGAATTCGTGTCATTCTGAGCGGTTTCAGGATGAGTAGGGGTAGCCGCTTAGCAATGGGAAGCGAGATTACGGGTGGAAGGTGAAGAATTTTAAATATAATAATTCAAATATTACTCAAATATGAACATTTTAATTCCTACATAATCATTATTATGGTGTGATTCAACTTGAATCACCACATTTTTTGGGCTTTATTTATTAACTTCCCATTAGGGAGTCATTGAAATTGGATCGATTGGTAAAATTCAAATTTTTTTTATATTTCCACGTTCTATGGTATCTTCAAGTATATTGACCAATTTTTAGAATGATGTGTGTGTATGGACGTCAACATTTTTTTCGTTGTCCATATCTCAATAACCGAAGGTAATATCGACTTCAACCAAAATTATTTCGGAAGATATTATCAAAAGAAAAGACCTAAGCGAAATTTGAACGAATTCGGTCGAGCCGTTTTTTTTTCTTTTAAAAACAAAATAACTCATAAAAAAATGAAAAGGTAAGCTATTTAAAATACTTTTTAGTGAAACAATAACATTTTTATTTGAAAATTGAGTCGATACTGACTAGACATTATTGTTCACAACTAAATGTAACTTTTATCAAACATGCATCGTTTATAACAATATGAATTTGTTGTAAACAATAAAAAATTGTATTAATTAAATAAGTAATGTGTTTTTCATATGAATTTAGATGCTTTCAAAAAAATAATATTATTGATGCTGAAATATGACTCGTCAAAATTACACATTGTTGATAACAATATAAATTTGTTATGAAGAATTAAAAATTGTGTTACGTCCTGACTAATTATCCTGGAATAAAATGACATTTCCAAGTTTAGGAAGCTTTTACGAACGATAAGTAAACAGGGAGTCAGTTTATCAAATTAATTCCCATGTAAACACACTTAACGGTTGTGAAGCTGCCGCTAATACAGCCCTCTAACCTTAACGCGTTAGGAACTGCAAAAATTCAAATAGGGGAATTTTCCCGACGTGTGGAATATTAGATGAATAGATGAACGAAGGGAAAATTTAATAAATAAAATAAAAAATAAAATAAGGAAAAAAACGAAAAGAAAAGGAGAAGAAATCAAATACTTACCGTTGGAGCTGCTGGATTGCTCATGATTGCGAAAATGATACACACACAAACCAAAAAAAAACTCCAATAGGAAAAGGTCCACTAAATTAGTCAGTCCACCCCGCAGAAATGACACTGGGGATAAATGGCTGGGTAGTTATTGGAAGTTTTTAGGCATCACCAAAATCACTTCAAAATCCAGCAAAACCTCGTCACTCAGGATGGTGATTCCTCTGTCGGTGGGTAAAGTAGGCTTCGGTGGCTCCTCCTGGAAAATCGAGAATAGCTGAGCGCGTTCGCTGTGGTGGTCCTTGATGATCCTCTTCATCTGCACCCTCCAGCCCGCTCTGATGACTCGCCTTTTTGATTCACACATGAGGGTATACAACTCTGGTGTATACTGAGAATGTTGCTATTCACTGTTTTTGAGACTATTTTTTTTTGGTGAAAAAATAACCATCAGACAATTCATACGTGTACAAACAATCAATGTACAGTTAACTCAAAGATATGTAGTGATTATTAAGTTCTATTGATTATGTTGAGTGCTATTGTTGAATAAAAAACATCAAAACCTAGACAAATTGGTGTTTGTGAATCATTTTAAGGAACCTTCTAGCATCCAACCTTTTGTTCTTATTCTGCTCTTAAGTATTACAGTCCACTAAGTTTTAGTTTTCTCGTCCGGCCGACTCGAAGTCGGAACATATACATTTTTTTACTCATTTGAAAGTTGCGGTTATTTTCGTAACAGTTCTCTGGTAGTAACTTTAGGCATGTTGTACTACCTAGTGTCGAATTTATGATTTGAATCGACACGTTTATCTTCATTGATATCAATATCGATGCGCTATCTGGTATCCTTTAGAAACACATGTCACATTCCGCCTTTTGCATTCATCATTCGCTCCAAATCTATTCATTGTGACAAAAGTGTATTTGCTATTTTTAATCAATATCAGTATATTACTCATTATTGGCTTTTTCGCTGGAATATTTATGGTTGTTAATAAATTATTAACTACTCTATAATGCCTCTAACGTTCATACTGTCTCAAAAAAATTATAAACTTTATTACATGATGGTATATTATACTCTAAAAAAAAAAATCAATAAACATAATATTACTTGGCGTTGCGCATCAGATTCGACCTGCAATATAATTATCCACACTGATACCGACAAGAAATCAGGTAATTTCTATTTACACTTATTACATCAAACATTATACACTGATTCATTAATTTCATTAATTGCTCATATCGTAATTTATAATGAAGCTATAAATGTAAATAATTTACATTGCTTGCAAATGAGATTTTTTGACAGCTAAAATAATATTTCAGCTACAAAACACTAAATTAACTCTACATGAATATATTTTCTAATAACATAGTTTAATCATTTCATCATTTATTACTCGAATAAAATATTTAACCTATATCTGTCACTATTCTCAACTTAACGTATCTATTCAAAATTCTTCTTTCCATGCATTAGGTAATATCATTGGAACATCACCCACTCATAGTCATCCAGGAAATGCTGGTCTCGTTCAAACAGAAATGATTAAATCACGTATCATCGAAAAAGCTCAAAATAGTGACACCAAACCAGCTACTATATTATCTCACGCATTACGTGGTGTACTATCACCTGTTTCGGCTTTAATGCCAAAACCTGAATCTCTATCTCGGACTATTAACCGCATTCGACAGCAAAATAACTCTTAACTACTTAATATAACATCTCGAGGAGATTTGCAGTTATCTCCTGAACTTACTCATACATACAATAACGAATTATTCCTATTACATGACAGTGGTGGAAATAAAAAAAGATTTTTAGTATTTACAACAAATTTAAACTATTTGATGACATGCGAGCAATGGCTGGTAGATGGAACCTTTAAAAGTGTACCAAATATTTTCTCACAGTTATACTCTATCCATGCTTACAAAAAAGGCAAAGCAGTACTACTTATTTCCATATTACTACCTAATAAATCTAAGAGCACATACATAAAGTTTTTGAAGATATTAAGACACCGTCTACCAAATTTTTCACTGAACCGTATGGGACTTCAAAGAAGCTTTTATTTAATCATTCGAGGAAATATTCTCATCTGTTCAAATGTTTGGATGCAACTTTCACTTCAATCAGTGCTTCTGGCGCGATATCCAATCATGTGGCCTACAAAGTTTATATAACAACGATATAACATTTGCATTCAACTTGCGTTTACTTACAGCTTTAGCATTTATTCCACCCGCTGATGTTATCGAAGGTTATGAATTACTTGATTCAACTAATTATTACGATTGCCATAGTGATATGTCATACGAATTTCTCTCTTATTTTGAATCTACATGGATCGGAAAGAGTCGTCATAACAAAAATAAAAGAGATAAACCAAGATTTTCTATCAAATTATGGAATTGCTACGGAGCTGTCATTCGAGATCAACTACGATCAAATAATTCAAGAGAAGGGTGGCACAATAGATTTAATCGTCGTGTTAATACCTGTCACGCCTCTATTAGATTATTTCTAAATGCCATGAAAGATGAACAGGTGAAAACAGAAACTCTTATTACTCAAATCAATACAGGTTTAGATATTTCCACTCGTCGTAGAGCCTATTGCAACTATGATGACCGATTGAAAAATGTCGTTATCTTTTACAATGCCAATGATAAACTAGATTATCTAAAAATTATTGCAAAAATTATTTCACTCAATAATGCGAGTTGAAATCGACGTATAATCTATTTTTAACTTCCCAGTGGGAAGTTACAGTAATGGGTCCGATTTTGCGAATCGCTAATTATGACATATCTCCACGTTTTAAGGTCCCCAGAGTTGAATACGATAGTTTTTACGTGGACGTCTGTATGTACGTATGTTCGTACGTGCGTTCGGAATTATTTTTCGCCTCGATTATCTCGAGAACAAAATATCATATCGACGTGGGACCAACTGCATTCGACGCGTAATTACGTAACTTAGAACTAATTAGATTTACAGTGAAATCGGTTCTGCCATTTTTTATGCAAAATCAAAAAACTGAAAAAATAGTGAACTACCTGAATTCTGCAATTTTTTAGACGGAATTACGAGATCTTTTGAAAAATATGAATAACAAATGTTTAGAATAATTGTACAGAGAAATGATGACAGTATTTCATAGAAGAAAAATTTTTAAAAAACGAAATCAGCAATAAAGAAATTTTAAACTTGTGTTGGGATGGAGAAAATAGCGTTGAGGATAATAAAATAGTCAATGATTATTGTTAATAATAAGAAATTGTGTTCATAACGATTGAACATTGTTAATAACAAATGATTATCGATCATAATAATATTTGAATAAAAAATTTTTTAATTGTTATAAACAGTGAAAATAGAAATCTATGCAATATATTTGGATTTTTCTAACGTGTAATTTTTTCTTTTGCTGAAAAAAAATTACCAACCGTACGACATGAATGAAAACTCATTCTTTTTGTTTATAACAATAAAATCTGTTATAAACAATGAAAATATAGATCCATGCAATATATTTGGATTCTCCTAACGCGTAATTCGTTCTTTTGCTAAAAAAAAATTACCAACCGTACGACATGAATGGAAAATCATTTTTTTCGTTTATAACAATTAAATCTGTTGTGAACAATGGAAATAGAGATCTATACAATTTATTTGAATTCTTTTAACGCGTAATTTTTTCTTCTGCTAAAGAAAAGTTAACTATAAATGAATTCGAAAGCCTATTTCAGAATGAATCGACAGTTCTTTTGTGGACGTTTGTGTGTGTGTATGTACGTATGTGCGTATGTTCGTACGTGCGTTCGGAATTATTTTTCGCCTCGATTATCACGAAAACAAAAAATGATATCGAGGTGGGACCAATTGCATTCGACGCGTAATTGCGTAACATTGAACTGAAAATGTTTATGGGAAAATCGGTCAAGCCATTTCTTCGGCAGAATCAAAAGACTGGAAAAAAAGGAAATTACTTGAATTTTGCAATTTATAAATCATACCATTTTTAAAACAAAATTTTAAGATCATTGCAGAAATATGAATATTAAATAATTGAAATACTTGTATGAATGTATGATGACAATATTTCATCGAAAAAAAAAATTTAAAAAACAATATCAGCAATAAAAGAATTTTAAACTCGTGTCAGGATTGAGAAAACAGCATTAAAGACGCTATAATAGTTCATAATAATTGTCAATAATACGGAATGGTGTTCATATCAATTGAACATTGTTACTAACAAGTGATTATTGATGATAGTAATATTCAAATAATAAGTTTTAAATTGTTATAAACAATAAAAATAGGGACCCTTTCTATATATATGAGTACTTTTAACGCATAATTTTTTCGTTTACTAAAAAAATGATACCAACCGTATGCCATAAATGAAAACATACTTTTTTCGTGTATAACAATTAAATTCGTTGTAAATAATGAAAAAAAGGATCTATGAGGTACATTCGAATTCTTTTAACGCACAATTTTTTCTTTTACTGAAATAAAGTAACTAACTATATCAAATGAATATAAACAGACTGATTTCGTTTATAACAATTTCATTTGTTATAAAAAATGGAAACGGGTTCTATTCGAATTGTTTTTTTATTTTTTCCACTGGGAAGTTGGTCGTGTGGACCTTTCAGGTCGCACGCAGATCACTGCAGAGCACTGATATTTTTAGTTAAAATAATATATTTATTAATTCGTAATTGTGTCAATGAACTTCTCAGTTCATTGCTGGTTTAATTAATGACTGACTTTACGTCTACTTCTGAAATACTAAATCATTTAAATAACATTAAGTACATTTTGAGTTATCACTCCATTAATTTACATTCGGATAACACATAAGTACGATATTACCAAATATTACTATTCATTACTACTTATATTTTTATGAAAATGATGACATTTAATATAATAAAACTCTCATATTTTCGTTAATATTCAATGTGTTTTGATTATATTGCTAACATTTATTGACAATTACTACTTTAGAATATATTTTATCTAGAGATCTCTAGTCATAAGGATATTTTATCCAGAGATATTTTTTAAGGATTTAATGTCGGAGATATTTTGTCTGAGGATGAAAACGCCTGATACCAGGAAGTTCGTCATGTTAGCTCAGACAGAGTGTGATCAGAACTATTTTTATTGTTAGGATATGCAAGCACTATCGCACTTAAATTGGTTAAGCTAATGGGCCTTATAACAATAAAATGTAATAAGTGCAAAGTTCGCAAAAAAAAGGACGCTTCAAGTACTGTAAAAAATCGGAAAATTTATTCTTTTTTATAATATTAATTAAAAAATGTTCAAAAAACATTTCTGAACCTTTAGAATTTTTCCAGTGAATTCGTGGTATTGGAAATATTGTTTGTTTAAATGTTGATTAAAAAAGCATTTAACGGCACATTTTGCCGCAGCGCCCAGAATGCTAAATTTTTAGTTCGCTTTCGCAGCGCTGTACAGTTTTATCTATCTTTAATGGACAGGTGCTCTCGCGGACTTTTTTATAGAGAATTCGATTTCGACTTTTTTTTTATATTCTATACTTAATGTACGATAAATTCACGCGGCTACTAGAAAAGGAGATTTCTGATCGAGTTGTCAGGAAATACACGTTCACATTTACCACAGAAAGCACAGTTTCGTAATAAATTATTATTACCAGCGCAATACATGCATGCTTTTTAAACAACACAAAGATTACGGACATGTATTTTTGTCATTTTATTACCTATGACATGCTCGGGCTGTTATATTTCGAAATCGCAGAATAAGAATACTCCTTTTTGTAGCCTCATTGGTTCAAAACGACTCCTATAACAGCGATGATATGTTAGGCAGCTTCGGTTATAAACACGGCAAGAAGATTCGTTACACCCATGCTGTTTTGTTTCAGGTGTACTGTATATTTTTAGATGATAACATTTTTTAAAAATTTGTGTTCGATTACAAATAGTTGAATCTTCATCTTTGCCACAACGATGTGAGGCGGGGTCCAAAGTATAACTTTTATTGCAAGTCGTACAACAAGAACGCGATCCTATTGCGGCACTGAGATCTAATATAGGTTTATAATGGTGAGTTTGCTGATAATATAACATGAATCGTGTTTGACAGGTAGAACCATACAATGCTCCTTAACGACCCGCCGACCATCAAATAAGGGTGTACTTCGTCTACCTGAGGCGTAAAATTGGAAAATAACAATAGCCGCACCCTTGCGACGAAAATATCGTTGGAAAACATTAGTTTCATCAAGACTTTAGCCATGAAAAGCTATTTCAACGCCGGCTCTGCTTACTAGTTCTAAGGGTACTTCACGTTGCGAATTACACTGTCAGTCGCAGATTATTTTCCAACGTTTTTGTAGATTACCGGTACGAATTTCATCGCGCTCAAAATAAAGATCAGCGACAACAAGTGTGCGTAGAATGCATAAATTATCATTATTCGTGATACTTGATATAGAACGCTTGAAGATATTTTTGAAAGTCAGCTTTTTACAGCTACGGCCTCCCATTTCTCTAACAATGGAAACCGTCAAAACAATATTATTGTCACTATTTATACCACCTGTACTTTGGGCAATTTCGCAAACTAGCTCCCACAAATTGTTACTGGTATATTGTTGTGGTGGCCTAAAGCGAGACCATATTGGCCTAAAATCATCCTTTTTTAAGATTTAAAGATATATCTTCAGGTTTTTCGGTTAGAGATGGCAAGCCGCGTACTTGAATCCAATTGTCTTACACAGTTTTATGTAAGACACCAGCAGCAGTTAAAGTTAGTGGTTGAGGTTTATTAATGTTATATTCTCTTTTACAAAATCGATATAAGGATTATTTTCAAAAATTCTTACGTTTGCAATAATCATATTCAAGGTTTTTCCCGAGATTTTTAATCTCAAAATACACAGTCTTTAAAACTGTTAGCGTTGCAGAAATCGGGATTTTTCAGAGGTTCAAGTTATCTAGTGAAAGATTACTAGAATGCAATCTCGAATTATACCATGGTGGGAGGTACAATGTTTTAAATCACAAAGTCTCTTTAGCAAATTCATTGAGTCTCGTGTCGCTTATTAATATACTATTTAGACAAGGAAATAATTTTTTTGTTAAAGGTGACATAGAGAAAAAATAAATTGAAAAAAAGAAATGTGGTAAATTTTGTTAAAGGTTGAATTTGTATTCGAGCTTCTGTTACGTCCTGACCAATTTTCCTGAAATTAACAACACTCAGGGGTTAGGGAGCTTTGACAAAATATAAATTAAACAGGGCATCGGTTTATCAAATACTTCCCGTGTAGACTCACTGAACGGTTGTGAAGCTGCCAATAATTCAGCGCTCTTACTTCAATGCGTGGCTAACCGCGAAAATTCAAAGAGGGGAAATCCGAAAAATTTACTCGACATGTAGGGTACCATATAAATGGAAAAACAAAAAAGGGAAAAGAATTCAAATATTCACCGTTAGAGCTGCTGGGTTGCTGATGGTTACAAAAACGAACAAAACAAAGAAAAACTCCAAACGAGAGGCCCACAAAATTAAATCGTCTCTTATAAAAATGGCACTAGGAAAAGATAGCTGTGTAGCTACTGCAAGTTTTTGGGGATCACCACGATCACTTTATAGTCTAACAACACCTCGTCACTCAGAATGGTGATTCTTTTTACGATGGGTGAAGTAGCCTT